TAGGATGGGGTGGACTTACATGTGAATCAGGTATGCATAATTTAAAGCGCGGTAGTCGTCGCGCTGCGCATGTGCGAGATATATGGGTCTCGTATAAACAAAGATGGCGACTTTGACTGTTGCGCAGATCAACGAGTACGATAATTTTAATGTGATTGAAAGATATCGAAGGAGTCATCGGCTGTAATCAGTGCAAGTCGCGCCCAGGTCGAACCTCATATTTGTGATTTCCATTTGAAGAGCGCATTGGATTGTGGAAAAATCAATGTTTATCAAGACAAATGTCGAACATGCGCAGCGCGACGACTACTGCGCTTTAATATTGATGTCTGTTCTGGTGGAATAATTTAGCTTACAACTCCATCCCAAAAGACTATTGCATTTTCGGTCTTTCAACATATGTATATGTATTTTCGTGATTAATTTTGCATTCAATTCAATTTGCAGCCTAGTGACTTGTGGTTAGTGAATATTTGATTTTTTTTTTATTTCAGAGGTTGGGTGCATTGCCAGATATACAATACCAGAATGTGGCTCAGTTCAGATCAAATCGCCAAATTATCCCAACAGCTACAACAATGACGCCACCTGTTCTTGGACGATTGTTGCCACAGATGGCCACTTAATTCGGATTATCATTCAGGATTTCAGCACGGAATCCATGTACGACTATGTTGACATTGGTGAAGGTGAAAACAGCGATAGCATTGGAACACTTTTGACAAGGCATTCCGGGGACGAACTGCCTGCTCCACACACTGTGATGTCGGAGACTAGCACAGTCTGGATCACATTTGTAAGCGACACTGATAAAGTAGCTAAAGGATTTAAGATTGATCTTCAGGATGAATGCATGCCTAGTAAGTTGTCAAATAATGCATCAAATATTCTTCTTATACTAACCAACTTATATATTTAACTAATGTGCTAAATAGCACGCTTATTGGTGTTGCATGACATCTGTGGCCATGCGCGATGCGACGTGACGCGAGTCAACGCGATGCGATGCGATGCAATGCGACGCGACGCGACGTCTGGGGTCCGCGTATGTTACCCTGCGTGGCGTGGCATGACGTGACGTGACGTGCCGTATGAAGCACCTACGTGGCGGACGTGTCACTCTGTAGGATTGCGTGGCGTTATGGCGCTGCATGGCGACTGTGGCGCTATGTGACGACTTTGATTATGCAAGGACTTTAGTATTGATGGCGACATTGTGCACTCAGAGCTCTTCTACATTAAACATATCATTTGCTATATCATTTTCAGTTATCGATGCTTGTTACAACAGACCTTGTCAGAATGGAGGCATTTGTACAGAAATTGACGGCGACGGTAATTATGAATGTAGCTGTCCTCAGGAGTACAGTGGTGACAATTGCGAGATGTGTAAGTATACTATTAATGATAAATTATCGAATTTGTACAACATAATTGGAAAGGGCCTTTTTTGTATCATGGCCAGTCCATTGCTTCACACATATTTATGACAAAACAAATCTATTTATTCATACTTGCAGATCGTCCAAATCCTTGTCTATCCAGTCCATGCAAGAATGACGGTACCTGCCGTATTTTGAACTACGGTGAATTGTTCGATTGTCGTTGTCCACCACAGTACCGGGGATATACTTGTGAACAAGGTAGGATATATTATGAACATCTACATATGCACATTTTAGTCTATTCATATATTGCAATAGAATGTGGTGTTTGGGGCATCAAACTATCTGTAAGACGTGAATGTATAATGCATGTGATACTAACCCACAATGCTTAGTAAATTTATTCACACGGCTGCATAACTTTTAGCGGGTGAGTATCACTTTTAAACATTAATATTTTCTATCACTCTCCTAAATTATTGGTTTTACTATTTATACTACATGTAGTAAATTAATACTCTATAACATTTATAATTTGTAAGATAAAAGTATTTAATTTTTCCATGTATGGAGGTATGCAATAAAAGAAGTGTGCGTCAGTCGAGGGTATGACCCCACAAAACACAGTGGAGACATCGATTGTAGAAATAGATGACCTTATGCACGTTCTGTGATTGGGCAGAGACATTCATCCATTTCTGGCAGTGGCATATATTATTTCTAGAAATTCTTTTATCGAGTTTGTGACCATCTCGCTCTTCACAAGACTTCAAATTGGCGTCTTCACCCAGATCAGTTGCCTACTCGTATCTTAGAAATCCTTGACAACAGTTGTTAGGAAAATAGTTTTCTATTTGGCCTGTTATTATCTGTGTTGGTGCTCAATTTTGTCTTGTGAGTATGCAATTAGTTGACTGGTAAAAGGATAATAAACCTGGTCATTTCCATTGATGTAATATTGCTTGTAATCTCGTATATCCATATCCGGCTGTCTGACTGTTCATCTAACCTGCTGATTGTTCGTCCAACCCATTTTTCGTCCACTCATTTGTGCTCCCGTCCGTGCTCCCGTCCTTTCTCTCGTCCGTTCTCCCATCCCTTCTTCTGTGACAGTCCGTCCGTTCTTCCATCCGTGCTCCCGTCCGTTCTCCCGTCCGTTCTCTCCGTTCTCCCGTCCGTTCTCCCGTCCATTCTCTCGTCCGTTCTCCCGTCCGTTCTCTCGTCCGTTCTCCCGTCCGTTCTCCCGTCCGTTCTCCCGTCCGTTCTCTCGTCCGTTCTCCCGTCCGTTCTCCCGTCCGTTCTCCCGTCCGTTCTCCCGTCCGTTCTCCCGTCCGTTCTCCCGTCCGTTCTCCCGTCCGTTCTCCCGTCCATTCTCCCATCCGTTTCCCGTCTGTTCTCATATCAGTTTCCCCGTCCGTTCTTCTATCTGTTCTCCCGTCCGTTCTCCCGTCCGTTCTCCCGTCCGTTTCCCGTCTGTTCTCATATCAGTTTCCCATCCGTTCTTCTATCTGTTCGCCCGTCCGTTCTCCTATCTGTTCTCCCGTCCGTTCTTCTATATAAATATCCCGTTTCCCGTCCGTCTGTATGTGTCAAATCTTGTTTCATCGTTATCTTAAAAGCCACTAGCTGGATTTCAATAAAATTCGTTCTCTTCAGTGATTTAAAATGGTTGGGAATAATTTCACCAAGCAAAAGCAATGTACTTTCTTCATGTTCGCGATTTGATTCAAAATGGCGTCACACCAATTACTGTCACTATTTATTTAAGTTGGATATTAAATACGTTATACAAATTAGGTCTTAATAAAAAATAATGGTATCACCGACCAAGTGCACAGCACCCCTGCAAAATAGTCAGTTTCTCACTTTTCATGTAAATTTGGGAATTGCTAGTCAATTAGTGTTCTATTAATGTAGTGAAAGTGAAATTTAACTGTTAGAGAGCCGTGTAGCTCTGCCTGTATTTGTCAGTTTCATCAATCCATTCTGTTTAGTAAGAAGTGTTTTACTTGTTTATTTTAGTCAAGTTTCCAATTTCATTATCATCACATACATTATCTGTCAACCAAGTGCCAGGTCACGTGAGTGTGTCAGCGTCAGCTTCAGGTCACCCTCACACATCGTAGGAAACAGTATTAGGACTATGTCAATCGGTTCTATCGCCATCCTGTCCACTTATATGGGATGATGGAATTGCAAGATGTCCCACCTTACTTCTTGCCAGGCGTGGTTTGACCTCGCAAAAATAAAGGTCTGCTTATCTGTTGCTCGTGGTTTGGTTTCTACACAAACTGTTTTTTAGTACCAAACATTAAATCAAGCTAAGACCAGTAGTAGGTTTGCCCCCCCCCCCCCTCAGTCGACCTAAAATCGTTATAGATGGTTACTAGCAGTACATCAAACACTATCTTTGGCGGCCAATGCGTACAACAAATGAACCCAGTCAGCAAACTCCTTTGAAGTTTGGGATGAAACAAGTTTCAAGTACTTTCGTTTGATCTCTGAATGTACGTTTACATTCTACACACTGGACATCTTGGCATACCCATACATAGTTTATTGTTTTTCCACCATCAACTGTTGTTGAAGTTTGTCGTGAATGTGAGCGGGTCACAGTTGTTTGGGGTTTGATGAAATTTTATTTTATTTTCAGGCATGTCTGGGTCATTATAATTAGTTTGTATGAATGTTTTGATTCAAAATGTCCAACTGGTGTCCATATTAGTTTTCTTTATATGTGTCCTTAACCATTTTCCAGCCATTTCATGGCAATTGTCATTCAAAGCTGTTATTTGCATAGACAATATGCATGTGTCCTTAAATGTTTAAATTCAGCCAAATACAGACTTTTTTTTTCATTGACCACGTTTTTATTATTTTCTCTAGTTTTGTGTATAACAAATGTTTTGTTTGAAATTTGTATACATATGCTAGTATTATCTTTAGTGTAAACTTTCTTATGATAGATGTACCCTTCACGTGATCAGCAAATGCTACAGATACAAAATGTAACTCGTATTTTACATTTGTTTTCAGAGGTTACCTCGATGTGTCCAGATTACTATTGTTTAGATGGTGGTACATGCAGTGTCAATGTCAATGGCGTATTGGAGTGTGCGTGTCCTGCCGGCTATTCAGGAAGCAGATGTCAAATTGGTAGGTTATAAATTGATAGACAGTTGTCACAACACTCGAAAATATGACGCTAAATATATATTTCTAGCAGCTGTTATGTATGCCTTGTCTGTAATCAAATGGAAGCGTAGTAGTAATACTAGTAGTAGCAATAATACTGTCCAAATCGTTATAATCGCTAGGGACCCTTAATAATTCTTGAAATACTCAAACAACTTTTATCTGATCGTTTTCAAAATAGAACATATTATGTATCAGTATACAATATGTTGTATGTATATTTTATTAGATGTGATTAAAATATGGCATACTATTAATAGAATGTTATTTTTAGAACATATTTTACTTAAACTGTGAGTGATATAACACAGTAACTCTCAAACTTTGTAGTCTTTTGGGCATGTGTGTGTCATAGACAGATTCGTTATATGCTGCTATTTCATTGGTTTGATATCTATGACTACAAAGGCATACATCAATTGTATAGACGTTGCTGTGATGTATTACCAACAGTTTGTAACGAAATAGTATTAAATGTATAATATATCTGTATATCAAAATGGAATCTATTTGTTCTTACCAATTATCATTTCACGTTTTCTTGCAGTTCCTTGTACAAAAAATTGTGAAAATGGTGGAACATGTTTGCCATCAGTTGATGGCGAAGACCAATGTAGTTGTTTAAATGGGTACATGGGGGAATTTTGTCATGAGCGTAAGTGATTATTGTGAAAAAACACGTTCGGTCCTGAGTAATTAGTATTTACTGGTATTGTATTGGTGCCACTGATGTCACAGATCTACAGTTAACTATTGATGCCCCAGCCCACGTATTACAAACCATTGATGTCGCAATCCACATATATACAGCACATGCATTCTAAATTACATTACAATACAATACAATACAATACAATACAAGCTTTAATTCCCAAACTAAATGTCTAATATTAGGTGTGACAAGTTGTGATGACGAGCCCTGTCAAAATGGAGCAACATGTATCCAAGAAGGACAGAACTATGACTGTGAGTGTCCTGTTGGTTTCCGTGGAGTGCACTGTGACACAGGTACGTCTGGGGTATATTATTAATTTGAAATGGTTCTAAACAATAACATATTTGTACGAATTATGTTGAACACACGCCTTCGTCCGTTCAAAGAAGACTTTTTTAATAAATAATCGTGTCTTCTTTTTTTCTATTTATAGTCCATTTCTATTCTTATCTGTGTAGGTAGCTCCTTTGTTGGACGATTTATTTCTTTATTCCTATGATGCTAAATTTAATATTAATTGTCTGCACTTTCACAACAGCACCCCACTCTAGCCTATAGGATATATATTTCTCGGTTTAGGTGAAATGATAGTTTGTAGTAAGTAACTGAATTTAAAGTGACACAGTTTTCTGTCGCCAAAATATTAATCATAATGTTTTCTATAGAAAGACTAGCATTATCATTCAACAGGTGTTTTTTTCAGATGTTGTGGTTCAATATAATAACAAATTATTAAAAAAAAAAACACATTTTGGCAATGAATTATCTTATGATGGGCACATCTACGTAACATTAGTTACTAATATATCACTGAAAAACGTGCATAATATTCCTCAATTTGCACCATGGTGTATATATTGCTCTTTATAATGTAATTATGTTTGTAATATTAGAACTACTCATCAATGCAACCTTTTTCTCAACTTGAATGTTACTATGTCACTAGAATCCCTATCAAATCTACATTAACAGGTTGATTCATAAGACAATGAGCGACGTGAGTGTGTCTGGGTTTTAAAATACAATGCTCTGTCACGTAATAATGACCCATCAACCGTGTTAATTTGGAGTGAATTCCTGGGCTGTATAAACGTTTAAAAACGGCTTACCAAAACATTCGGGAGATGTTAACATGAACCTACCAACATCAGTTCATGTAAAATTCAGTCGGGAATACTGCAGTGTTACTTGGAATCGCGTATTCAGTCATTTAGACAAAATACGACAATCAGTTTGTCACGTGACCTAGTGTGTTTAAATGTGTTCTACGTCAAGGCTTTCAAACAATGTATGATAGATGAGCAGACTTCTTATCAAAATGTCATAACACTCTTTCTGCTCATCTAATGGA